ACATCTCTCCCATCAGGGCCATGGCTGTGGTTCTCCAAGAGCAAACACCCAAGTCGTAGTTATATTTAACTCATTTGTCCTACTCCACAGGGAAGCGTTGTGAGAGCTCCCTGCCTTCATGATGACTCTCAAGAACAAGCTGGAGGTTTATTGATTCTCCATCTATCAGTTAAGAGTAGAAAAGATATTTATAACAGGGGTATGGAGTAGAGTGGTGGGTCTGTAGGAATCACGAGTGCTTGGGTCACCACTCTCTGAAGGTTAGTGGATTAGTGAAGCTGCAAATCTGCTTTGGGTTTCGGTGGGAACTTTAACACTAACACCTTCTCCCCTCCATTGGTTCTGCACTGTGGATATCTTTTTTTAGAGCTCCGACTGAAACCCAGAACAGATCAGTGGCCCCATGGACATGGAGCGCCTAGTCTAGAGGACAATGGTACCCATTTGCAAACAGTGTTGTAGAGACTGCATGTAACTTCATATATTCGGTTTCGGTGAATTAACTGGGCTTGAAACCCAAGTTCCTCCTTTGGTGCTGGGATGTTAACCCTGAAAGTGCATTGAATTTCATGTCCTTTGCAAGGACTTTGAAGACCAGTGTGCAAATAGGAACCACAGAGAATCCAATGAACCTGTCCAAGCTTTGTCATGTGTCTGGAGCTCCATCTGCACTGTAGAAATAACCCAGTTTGCCACCACTTAAGCTGCCATGGCTCAGTGCTATGGGATTTTGGGAAATGTACTTTTGTCTGACATTTAGCTTTCTCAGAGAGCCTTGGTGCCATAACAAACTAGAATTCCCAGAATTCAAAAGCACTGAGCCATGCTGATTGAAGTGGTGTCAACCTGGATTATTTCTGCAGTGCAGATGCAGCCTGGGTTAGAAACCTAAGTGCTTATAATGCAAGAAAGGAAATCCACCATATGTGCCTTCTGTTTTGACTCTTACTTTCCCAAGCAGCAGATCTCCTGCCAACAGTTTTACAGATAAATTTAGGCTTTCTGTTTTAATTCCTTTTTATCAAAATAATAACAATAATTGAAAACCTTCAAATGAAGGAGGATAAGCAAAGCAGAACAAAAACAGCAAGGGCAATGATGCAGTTCAGAAATGTCACGAAAATGTTTTAAAATACCTTCTTTCCCTTCTCTTTTTGGTGCTATACATTTTTTTAGACTTTTAAATGCCAAAACTGTTTGATGTTTTTATACAACTTTTTAAAAATGACATATCATTTCGTTGGTTTTGTTGTTCATTTTTTAATGACTTTCATGGATCAGAAGCGGAATATCAAAGCAAGTGATAACTGAGCCTTTAAGGAGACGTTGTTTTCTGTTTTTCTACTAGGAATGAAAAAGAATGTGTTTTTACAAAGTTTACCTTGAACATTTATCATTGTTTAATTAAAGTCAGTGTTGTTCTATAGTTCTATGTTGTCTCGGTCTTTCTTTATATCATTTTTTCTGTCCATAAATGGCTGTTTCTTTGTGGGGGGGTATGCACAGGGAATGCATTGCCAAGTTTTCATTCTTGTGGTGAATAAATGTAAATTAAAAATAATTTTAAAAAAATCCAATCCCAAGACCAGGGGATTTCCAAATATCACTGGAAGAGAAATATGTAGCAAATTTCTAAGTGATTTTTAAACTTGTTCATAAAGGAGCTGGAATTTTGCCTGAGTTGTGAGGTGGGAAAGTTATGGACGATGCCAATTGCCAAATATTAAGTAAGAAACTGTGGAGACAACTACCATGCATCATCTGGACTGCTAGAAAGTAAAATCAATGGATCTTAGCCCAAATCAAGCCTGCATGGAGGCTGTTGTACTTTGGACACGTATTGATCTGGAGGACCTGATCGACTCAGGTCTTGCTTCTTTAAGGTCCCAGGATTTGCTGAAGTAAGTCTCTTACTGTGGGTTTGTCTACACCTGTGGTTCCCAAACTTTGGTCCTCGAGATATTTTGGACTTCAGCTCCCAGAACTCCTGACCGTTGGCTGGGGCTTCTGGGATCTGAAGTCCAAAACACATGGAAGACCAAAGTTTGGGAATCACTAATCTACACTGTAGAAATAATGCAGTTTGACGCTGCTTTAAGTGCTGTAGCTCCATTCTATGGATGGCTATGAAAACCCATTGGGTGACCTTGGGCAAGTTACACTCTCTCAGCCTCCGAGGATGGCAATGACAAACCCACTCTGAAGAAGCTTGCCAAGAAAACCCTGTGATAAGGTTGCCATAAGTTGGAAATGACATGAAGGCACACAACAACAAAATTCAATGCTAATAGTGAACAAATGGGAGGTTTTAAATGAGGATAGACAGCAGAGTTTGATATGCAGGAAATAATGATGCTATCTAGAATCCCACTTGACATAAATAGCAAAAAAAGAATGCCGAAATTTTTCGGTGTAGTTCTGGGGCGGGTGGTTAGATGTCCAAACAACATTTCTGTTATCCCAGAATATTTTCTGGCAATTCCTGTCACCTACTGCAGCCTTTTGTTCCTATCCTCAAGTGCATTGTTTTTGAATGGTGAGACTTAAGGTGCATCTACACTGTAGAAAAAATGCAGTTTGGCACCACTTTAAGTGTTGTGCAAGTGCCATCCTATGAAATCCTGGGATCTGTAGTTCTACAAGGCCTTTAGACTTCTCTGCCAGAGAGTGCTGGTATCTCAGAAAACTACAGAACTTAGGGTTCTGTTGGATGGAGCCAGGGCAGTTATAAAGTGGTGTTAAACTGCATTATTTCAACAGTATAGATGCACCCTGAGAGGAGAAACCATAACTTGAGATGCAGAAACAAAGAGCCATGGCAGTTAAAGTGATGTCAAGCTGCATTATATCTACAGTGTAGATGCACTCTGAGAGGAGAAATCATAGCTTAATTAGTGACAAAGGCCTGCAGAAACAGAACATATAAATAGGGCATCCTCACACCCCTTTGGCCAAATGCAGACACAGATGCAGGTATCCAGTCTGCACTGCTTTTTGTTTGGTTAACTGCCTTTACGTTGATCTCGACCCATGGCAGTGACCGTCTGGATGAGCCATCTCCAGGCCCCCTTTATTGTCCTCTCCTGCTCTGCCCAGCTCCTGCAAACTCTTATTTGTGGTCTCTTTAATAAAGTCCATCCATTTGGCATCTGGCCTTCCTCTCTCTACTTCCCTCCACCTTTCGTAACATTATTGTCTTTTCCAGCAATTCATGCCTTCTCATGATGCGTCCAAAGCACGACAGACTCAGTTTGGTCCTCTTGGCTTTTAGGGCTATCTTTGGCTTGATCTGCTCTAGGACCCCTTGGTTTGTCTTCTTGGCTGTCCGTGGGATCCTCGGCATCTTCTCCAGCCCCACATTTTCTCAAATGCATTGGTTTTCCTCCTATCTTCTTTCTTGACTGTCCAGCTCTCACATCTGTACTTGGTAATAGGGAATACGATGGCTTGCATGATTCTGACTTTTGTGCTGAGTTGTATGTCTTTGCATTTTAGGATCTTTTCTAGTTCTTTCATTGCCACCCTCCCCATTCTCAGTCTTCTGCCTATTCCCCATTTCTATTGATGTTTGATCCCAGGTATGAGAACTCTTTTGCTGTTTCTATTTCCTCATTGTCTAGATTGAACTTGTGAAGGTCTTCGGTGGTCATTATTTTTATTTTCTTGATGTTCAGCATTAAGCCTGCCTTTGCACTACCTTCTTTGACCTTCCTTAGTAGGTGTTCCAGTTCTGTGAGTTTTTCTACTAGTATTATGGTGTCGCCTGCATATCTCAGATTGTTGATATTTCTTCCTCCTATTTTCACTCCTCCCTCTTCCATGTTCAAACCTGCTTTCCTTACAATATCTTCTGCATATAAATTCAATAGGTAGGGTGAAAGGATGCAGCCTTGTCTGACCCCTTTGCCAATTGGGAACCATTCGGTTTCTCCGTCTTCTGTTCTGACAGTAGCCTCTTGTCTCGAGTACAGATTCCTCATCAGGACTATCAGATGTGTTGGCACTGCCATGTCTTTAAGGGTGTTCCATAGCCTTTCATGAACTATGCAGTCAAAGGTACATGCTTGCTTTAAAGCCCACGTTCCATAGCTTTGTTGTTATGCTGCCCCCCCCCACCGGCAGCAGCGACGGGACTCTCCATCTGGGCCCTCCC